TAAAGTTTTATTAAGGGTTAAAGAGCTTATTGGAACAACAGTATATTATACGATTTTGGTATACAAATAATCCTATTCGCTCTAATTAATGGCGATCCGAGAATCCCAATTTTATAGCGCAAATACTTCGCTCGACTAAAAGCCGTTTCATGATTCATAAGTTTCATTTCAAGCCGATAAAATTTATTTGCTGGTAAAGCGAAAACCGCCATTTTGAACATAGTTTTTAGAGGTACGACAGTGCCATTGTTCGGTAGTAATTGATTTGATTTAAGACCATGTACGATAAAATACGGGATTTTATATTCGTTGGAACAATTTCAACTTTATGGAATAAAAGAAGATTTGTTTCAACTTGGTGAAAAGAATGAACAAATTTTATCTTTGGAAATAAGATATATTATCTTCATTATTAGATTCATTGCACACTTGGCACCTGTGATTATTAGTTATAATATAATAGTTATAACCTCCCCAAATGTTAACGTTTATTTTGGATTGCTTATAGTTGCATCATTTCTAGTTAAAATTTTGTACTCACACTAGGACTAAGTGCAAGTCTTTTAATTTTTGCTTTAATGCAATAAAATAATTGTTATTTTAAATATTAATTTTTGCTATAAAGTAAAGCATTCTTTAAAACTCTGTATGTTAAAATTCTAATATATGAAATAAAATAACGTGATTGTCACGTTATTTGATATTAGTGTGCCGGACAGGTGCACTGATGCTTCCAAATCGTAACAACTAGTTTGAGAGTGACTAAAATATTTAAGGTCCATCTTTATAACGTTCAACTACTTTTAAAATTTAAGGATCGAAATATGGTATTTTAGTAAAAAACACGATTTTTCAGTTTGACTTTGACAAATGAAACAACTATGAAATTAAGGAAACATGTATTTTTCATCAACACCTAATGAGTTTTATTAAATTTAACTAGATGTTGGTGCTAATTCTCCTGTATGACATGGAATCTAGAGCGACACTCCACAACAGGCAGAAAATATTAATTTTTTGCTACTCATTGACTACAAATTTACCAAACCTGGTAGTTCCAAATGGCATCTGTAATCATTATTCGTTTAAGCAGAGACAGACAGTACAGTACAGTATATTTAGGAACAAAACATTCAGACCCAAAAGCTTTTACGATAAGACAGAAAAATCCATACTTATCCAAGCCTTTTTAAATTCAGGAAAGAGAACAATTTAAATATATATCCGCTTCATGCATCCTTGGATTTCATGAAAGTCTTAAAAGGATTTTTATAAAACACATCCATGCTAGCGCATAAAGTTTCAGAGGCCGCCTTCACCGTGTCACAGTTTAAACTGCATTTTTACAAAGAACCTCTTTCAGAAGAAGACAAAAAAACTTGCCGAGCACTTCAAAATAATGATATCAGACAAATGCAATTTAAGGGAAAATAATTTATTTGCCTGTGTCTGATTCTGAGAGAGATTTTTTGCTTTTTATAGTTTCAAATGAGGTTCCTGAGTAATGATATAGCAAATAATTTGTCACAAAGATAAAAAAAATAAATCAAGACTACAAACATTTGTTTTAAAAGTCGACCGTAGACAGAATAGGCCTCAGAACAGTCCTAGATTTGTTTTCAGCAACATAAACACTCAAAAAGTAGTGTTCGTTTTGTAAAATGTGCCAAATTTCATACAGGAAAAGTTTTGGAAACAAGGAATTGTTTTGGTAAATTAATTATCAATCATCAATCAAACTATTGCGGATGGTTAAAAATATGATATGGTTGAAAATACCAACGCTTGATAGCTTTGGTATTTCAAGATATTATATAAGTCAAGATATTCTGATATAAAGAAATTAGTCCATCAACTTCTTAGTAGAAACACAAAAAAGCATAAGCAGCTAATATAAATGATTAAATATATAACATATGCGAAGGTAGAAAATTTCAATTAAACGCCCTGGTTTTATTTCAGATTCCATGCAAACGCTTTGCAAAAATCATTTTCTCCAGCAACTTTACCGGAAAATTGACGGTGCTGTATTATGGAGCCAGAATGAAAGAAATCTGGATTGCGTCATCACATTCCAGACACATTCAATTTTGCAGAGATTTATGCTCCGATTTGATGGATTGCAACTGGACTGCAATGACCATCTGTTTATTTATGATGGGGCGCATGCTGTGGGAACTTATAAGGTGAGATTTGAAGGAAAAATAAATTGTCACTATACAGCTTAAGATATTTGATTAACTATTTCATCCAAGTTAAAATTCTTACGTTAACGTTATCTTTGTAGTCATCAAAAGTAAAGGTAAAAACTACTAAGAGAATTAACTTTTTGCAGGACATTAATGGTTTGGCATAACTAAAATATGTAGTCAATGCAGAATGGATATTTTTGTATATTTATTGTGCGATTATTGGTGGTTTTCCATGTTGCTTCTTGATTTATGTGCTTACTCAGTAAACATCCCGACATGGTAATACTATTTAATAGTTTTTACCAGGAGCTTGAATATGTAAACTAAAATTCAAAATAGAGTAATAATGTAAGTACAATAATGAGTCTCCTGTTTGTTGAATGACTGCTCGCTCATAAATGCATTTTTATTAATAAATACAAATTTTTTACATGGTTCATCATTTATAACGAGAACGCTGTTGGTTTTCAATAATCAAGTGTTTCAACTGATTCAAATTGATTATTCAAAGAGTTTTCATTCTAGTTAGAATGGTGTACAGCAGGAGCCCTTACAGGATATTCATTGCAAACAGCAGATTTAAATCACAATGGCAAATATCTAGTCTTCGAGTTAAACAATGTATACATCCAGAGCAATTTGCCATAACAAATGTTGTACTGGTTTGTTAGTATTATTCATGACAAATTATCTCTTCATGGGCCTATTTTTATTATACGAATCGTTCGGTAATTGCCAGTGTGATTTTGGAAATAGCTGCTGGTAAAGTATTTGTGGATGTGCGCCCAGATCACCTGCGTATGTCCTTCAGCCATGAGTTCTGGCGTTTTCCGACGGATCTTTTTCCTTGAATCTTCCCTTCGATGATGAGTTTCAGGATTTCGTATCGGCCCTCATAATATGTTCAAGATACGGTTTTTCCTTTTATTTATCGTTTGTAGCAGTTCATTTCAGGAACTTTTGAGGCGTTCATACCTCTATATTGGTTCTCTGTGTCCAAAAAGAGCGTCCGTCGATAGAGATACATCTCAAAAGCGTCGATTCACTTCTCTGTTACTGGATCAGAGATCCTATACAGCAGTGAGAGTACAGAGTACAGAGTACAGAGAACACATAGCAATGGAGCACGCGTGTCCTGAACTCCTAGCTCAATTCCAATCTAGTCAAGAGCTTCTTCATACTAGCTTCTTCATAGAAGACCTTCCTCGCTTGTTCTATTTTGGATCTGATTTCACTTTTAGGGTCACAGTCCTGATCTATCGAGGTGCCCAGGTATTCAAATGAGGAGATCTGCTCTACGGCTTTGCCGTTTAAGGTCAAGGTTATATTTCTATGTGTTTTGGAAAAGACTATGGTCTTGGTTTTGGATATGTTCATGAAAATACCATTTTATGGATTATTCTCTGTAATTCACTTGGACTGCTGGCTGGATGACGGTGTCATCTGCGTACCTTAAGTTATTTATCACTTTACCAGTATTTGTTTTGGTTTTGCTTCTTGTGTGTTGCCTCTTTCATCCATCAAGGATAGTATTTCCTGCGTCATCCACCTTTGCTTTTTATTGCTTTCTACGAACCCTATTTGCTGCTCTTGGATATTGTTAATTGTTCTCTCTGTTACGCTCCAGGTTGCCTCCGTCTCTTCTATCTTGATGTGATTCATTTCTCTTCCTAGTGAGCTTCCTACTTGCTCTTTAATATTAGGACCTCCATAATATGAGTTTTTTTTTCAATTTGTTTCCCATTCTATTTTTAAACCGCACATTTGAATATTATTTTCTATGAGCCGTGTTATGTGATTATTTCAAAATTGCAAATTTGGCGTTCAAGCTCTTAAGAAAGACAGATTGACGAATTTTGATGCAATGACTAGAAGGTAATTATTTGTGTATAAAGTTGATGGAACTCGAGAAAACATCAGGATTACGACTCAGTGTACGGGAATTGGCAATCATTTAGAATTTCATTGCCAGATTATTTTTACCTTGTGGTGCTTCCAAAGAGAGTTAGGTTTTAATAATTAATAATTGTTGAGCATGATGATGAAGCATTTGCTACTTTTCTCCAAAAGCATTTCACAACAACTCATTTCAAATAATACCAAATTACCCAACCAGTCAGGTAAAACATGTTCTATGGGTGCTTCATAAATATGGTGAAGAACCAACAATAATAACCTAATAAATATCGAAACAGAATAAATGTATTTAATTTGTTTAGATTATTTTTTATTACAGCGCATTTATCATCCGATTATAGAACAATAAGCTCGACAAAAGTTATAAAGTAGTTTTTTTAATAAAATAAAATTAGATTTATTAATCCCTCTTTAAACGATGTCAGTTCGCTAAATTCTGGTGCAAGACGTTCTACGTATAAAAATGACAAAAGAGAGGCCGTTATTGGAAACGTTACAAAAGGGCAGTCAACTATAGAATTACTTCCTGAATAATTAATCAATTTATCAGTCACATTATAAAAGCAATGTTTTCACATTTTCAGTTTGAATAGAAGCTTCCAATGAATTTATGTTTTAATATAATTTGTCGTTTTGGCCTGCGATATTTAATAATATTATAATGTTTTTGGCCAATTTTATTCTTTATAAATTAGCTAATATTCTTTATAACTTTAATTATTGAACATAGGCTCGCTCTGTATAACGTGCAACGTCAAACGTTAGGACAACTGTTACCGGTTAATCCAAATTTTAGGACGAATTGAATTTAAAAAATCGAAACGCTATTTATGGATTTGATAGTAATTTATTACTCAACTTTTAAGTCAAAACTGTCCACTTCACAATTTAACTTGCAAAATTTTGTATTTTTATTACTATATAATCAATAGTACAATCATAGAATCAGATAGAAATGCGCTCAGCAAACTTGGAAATTCATTCAAACATTTTTTATTGTAAACGAAAAGTGTTACTTTGACGGCCTGGGACAACCGAAATCAGTCAAGGAAAGTTATGGTCTCGGAAAAACTATTCTCACTGCATTGCTTTGCAAAATTTTTATCTGTATCTACCATTGCTTAGGTTTACTTTAGCTTCGGTTCGGTCATAGTTTGAAAGTTGCTCTCAGACCTCTTATTACTATATTTTTATACACTTATATTTACTTGTTTGTCTAGATTTTTACGGCATCTCAAGTTTCGTAAAACGTTATTTTATTGGAGATTCCAGATTCGAGATACACTTCCTAAAACAACAGCGCTTGAAGAAACCTTGGCCTCTTCCGACTGAATGCTGCGGACGTTTCGGAAAAATTTCGAACAGTTGAAACTATTATACGCAGACAACAATTGCATTTCTCAGATTAAAACTGAGCCCAAATTTTTTTTCAAATACCTACCTTCCTTTCGATTTTATAAAATGCAACTTGAGATGAACTTTCGCGGATGGTTCGTCCGTAAGTCTATTTGTGATAATTTTAGTTAATAACTTGTACGGATTCGGTAATACGCTTCTCGGGTGGTAGTTTTCTTTATTGAGTTTGTCACCCTTTCTTATCCGGGTCCGATATTTCCCCTGTTCGGGATGTTTTCTGCATTAATATTGCCCAGCCTTGCATTTAAGTCACCAATAATTATCCAAAAATGTGTATTTTCGTTTTTTAGAGCCAGTGTGTTATTCTCATATAACTGTTCTATTTCACTTTCTGGTGGAATGCTTATGGGGTATACGTCTGGATGCTTTGTAGCTTATGAAAATCGCTCTGATATTTTGAGAACCACATAAATGGTAAATTTTATAATTTTGTTCCCTATTTTCTTATTTACTGCTACTTTTTTTAATACTTGTAAACAACGTTAAAAGTTCATTTTCAGCTGTTAATATCTTCTAGAAATTTTCGGAAACATTTGTTTCAATATTTTTCTCTTACTCTCCATCACCCTGCATAGTAGATTTACAGCATGAACTCCACGGTATAATCCACATTAATCACCAAATATGTACTAATATTATAGTTATTAACGAAATAAAGTTTTATACCCTTCCACCGTCCTCATCATGCTACCAGGAATATATAAACTTTACATACGCTGCTCATGCATGAATAATTGGCGGGTAATGGTAACAACTATGGGCAATTTAATATTAACTGCTTAATTTTAGCCATAGCCGGAGTCCTGATAAGGCCAAGCATTAAATATGATAGATTACGCAGAACTACTAGTAAATGTAATAAAATATAGCAATATTTCATCAACTTCGTAGTTAACGAGTTGATAACGAACTAAATGTACATTGCATAAATAACAACTTTACTTCTACCCGCCTAATTTATGTAGTTTGGTTCAAACCACTCAATAAAATTGAGTTCAGTTGAAAATTGCTCACGTTATTGTCTATTTATTAATTATTTAATTTAACGAGTAAGGGTTAATATTTATTCTGGGTCTGCCATCCAATATAAAAAATACTTTTCCTGAAAATTGTGGGGTTAAACGACAGGCGCAAAAGCACAATTTTGAACAGAAATTAGAAACATTATCAACGAAGTTAAGAATTGTTAAAACATTTTCGCTCAGTTTCGCGTCAAAATGGTATAGTTAAGTTCAAAATATAGCAGGTGTGGGACAATAATAACAATGGTTTATAATTCAACAGACGTTTTGATCTTTATTGAGGTCTTCTTAAGGGATAATAGAAGAAAAACAGCGGTCACACAATTTAAGGAGGGAACAGAATTGACAGTTAGCTTAACTATAAAATTAATTATTAAAAAACAAAAATATATAAATATGCATAGAAACATCTACCTCAAATTATGTGACAACTTTATATCTTTAAATATTAATTGAAGCGAATGCATCCTCAACAGGTTTTAGTTCAAAGTTTGCCATTTTGGAATATGGATCGTTTAACTGTCGAAGAACGCGTAATAATTATTAAATGTTACTATAAAAATGGTGATTCTGGTGTATCAAAGTTTAGGGCTTTACGAGCAGATTACGGTCGACATAATCGACCCACAGAGCAAACAATCTAAAAGAACGTTGATTTTTACCAACCATGATTTTGTGTAAATTTTAAATCTGATGATGACGCTGTTGTCTCGCCGAAACCTAATGAAATAAACGATGTACAAAATTTTTACTTCACACTTTGACTGAGACCCAGGAAAGATAAGAATATCATAGAAAATAATATATAAACATAAAATTTAAAATAGTGAGTGCCTTGCTGTGTGAATGGATTTACTACGAATTAAGATTTATAGACACAGAGGCAAAATAATTATTTTGGCGAGGGCAGAAGAAGGCAAATGCGAAAAGAAGAAAGTTAATTCAGAACTAGAGATAATTATTGACAATACACGAAATTAAACTAACAAGAATTTACTTGAAGCTCTGCCACATAGCTTTAGCGAAATAAAAGTTATTCGGTTCTCCTAAACGGTGTAAAAAGCTGCCCTTAATGACTTCTTTTTCATTAATACACTATTATTAAATATCGATAACGCTTAACATGCCATCAACTATAATACATACATCAATAGTCCGATTCTTGCGTTTGCTGTAGCATGATATTTGATTTTAGCTAATAGATGTTACATTTGCGTTACTTATTGACTTCACGTCAATTAGTTAATTAAGAAAGAACAAAAAGATAATTTGATCATTATTATGAATTCTGCGTGTATAAACGGTTAATATTGAATGGTTTAGGAAATCCATGAATTGCTTTTCCTTAGAAAACTACGTTAACATCATTTAGTTTTTGACGTTTCTAGTGGAAAGGAAATGCAGAAAATATATAAATGGGGTCATAAAATTAACGTAAGATATCAATTAAGTAAAACTAAATCACAGTTTTCAGTCACGATAATTGATCATACGGAAAATGACCTCGCCCACTCTGCAAACACTCATTCGTAGAAATTTTCCATTACCATTTCTTCTGATATTGATACACCGTTTAATTTTTCCAGTGGCATGCCGTTTTTTAAACCTCTCCTTGTTCGAAATGCCTATGATGATTTTGTTCGAAAAATGAGAATCCATTTGATATTTAATAATCCGTTCAACGAACTGTCTTATGAATAGTCGTTGTGTTAATTGAATTTTGTGAATATGAAACCACATATATTTTATGTGTTTACGATTTAGAGAGCATACTGATATTTGCAATTCTTGGGCACGATTTGCTGTTGGACGAGGTGTGTTTGGTTTCTCCAACAGATCCACTTTCGCTGAATGTTTCGTTTAATTTCTTCACATTAATGCTCCATTTTTTACCCGTTAATTTTTCAGGGTTGCCAGCAATTTACTGCAAATCTTGGGTTAACTTTGGGTTATCCCTTAGTATATCTCTCTCTGTAATAAATAAACGCTATTTGTATCAAATTTTTTATTATTCCTGTTTTTTTTTATTTCAGTTTGATTTATCCTGCAAAAACACGAAACAAAATTTGGGAGCGATGTTCACCCGTACCAACTATGTTACCTTGAAATACGTCACCGACAATTGGGGAACAGAAAGCAATGGATTCAAACTTGTCATAACTGCAGTGAAAGATCCAAGTAAGTAATAATGCAGTTTATTAGCGAATGCATGTGGGTAGTAAGTCTATCAATAATTAGTGGAGAAATGTGACCAGATAGGCGTAAGCACAATTTAG